AAAAAATCCAAAAAACAAATATGTTATGCAGAAAAATAAACTGAACAACTTTGAAGTAAAAAATAAAATTAAAAAAAAAATATATATATTATATTATATATATATTTTTTTTGGCCCGGCCGGGCAAGTGACCCCGGGCCACTCTGGTAGCCTAGTTTCCAGCACTCCGGATGGGCGGCACAGTTGTAACTTATGAACTTAGGATGTAGTGTGTACACTGTACTCACGTTAGCTCTATGTTAAATGTATCTGACTGCGTTTACGTCCGGACCTAGATGCATCTGGCCGCGAAGATGTGCATAAATGAGTAAAAGTACTAAAAACGTTATAGTGTGAGTATGCCCTCAGAAGGTGCATTGGACAGTACAGGTGAATGTTCATAATACTTCAGGCATTGGGAAACATAAGTGGTGGCTGTGACAAAGTGGAGAATGACAGGCGACACCCGGCAAAGCGTAGGGACTGATTCGAAATGAAGAAATATGGAGACATGGCGCCTCGCTCCACTGCATAACATTCTAAATGCATCTGGACCTGGAAATGGTCCCGATACGCTCAAAGTGTTTGCTCGGTTGAAATGTACCTGGTCCATAATCGGTCCAGATACGCGTCAACTACTGAGTGATACATGTTTGCTCGGTTGAAATGTACCTGGTCCATAGTCGGTGCAGATACGTGTCAACTACAATAGGCAGGAATGGTCCAGGCTCTGAATTTTGTTTCTCTGATTGGAAAAGGACTACCTTCTTCCCCCGAATAGAACGTACGGTCATCATGCCTGTATTTGGGTCAACTTTCAGTCTAGATACAGCCATAACGACCACACATTCTATTCAGTGGAAGATGGTAGACTCTAGCCACTTTGACTGGATGAGACTCACCTTGGAAATAGCAGCATTGCTCTCCATCTTGTATGCTTCCCGGCTGATAATGAACCTTTGACGTATCTGGACTGATCATGGACCAGGTACATCGCAATTAGAGATGACATGATTGACCATCTAAGGTACATATGTAGTATTGTCGTCCTCCGAACACCGTGCACCCTAATTGTGAATGCATACAAGCTATCTTTCTGGTATGATACACTCATGATGAGGGTGAGATGTGTTCGGGGGAAGACAGTAGACATGTTTTGCATGTACACTATAATGTGGAACAACTGGGATAGAGGTCTTGCACAGGGCCTTAAAAAAAAAAAAAAAAAAAAGGAACAACAACCAGCAGTCTCGAATCAGGATCAAGGACATAAATTCCGAACAGTTGTTTTATGTCTGCGCGTGGTCAGGTGCAAGTTCACTGTGAAGAGCGAGGAGACCTGCTGCTGCATGTATGGCGACAAATCATCAGGGTTTTTAATCAGGTAATCCACTTCACATGCTCTCTCTCTCTCTCTCTCTCTCTCTCTCTCTCTCTCTCTCTCTCTCTCTCTCTCTCTCCTTCTGTTAGACCAGCAGTTCACCCGACCCTAAGTTGAGCTCTTACTGGTATACGCGGTAAGAGGTTCTTGATTCGGGCCTGGGCGGGTAGTGAAGGCGGAACAACACTATGAGAAGTCCCAGGTGGAGGCTCGCGCCCCTTGTAAGGTAGGTTCATCAACTTAGGCTCCTCTGAATGGTGTTTTAAGTTTTAACTGCTAAACAGATGAAAGGGAAAATCTTTTGGTTAACACATAAATCGAGAATTCTTTTTTTTTTTTTTTCTCTCTCTAAGTAAGCTCCATTCTTCTCTCCATTTCACCTCACACTACCTACCCACCACTACTCCTAATTATAGTCATATGGGGAACCCCCTAGCAGCCAGAACCGTGTTCATGAGAGAACGTGTGGGGGCTGCTCCTGACCTGCAGGTGGGCGATACCGGCCAGGGGACAGCCGGTAGCATCAGGGATCATGCCAATAGGACCAATCCCTGTGCCTCCCCTCAGGTGGTGGTCCCCTCCCCTACGAACATCAGCAGACTCTGCTCAATGCCGATCGGGGGATCCAGTGGTCTATCTCTAGGTGGCGGGCGATCTCAGGTCGGACCGGGGGGGGAAAAAAAAAAAAAAAAAAGGTAAGCCCTCAAAAATAAACATAGCAACCAGACCATTCTGTTTAGAAACAATGCCTGGTCCTTCAGAAAACAGACAAAAAACATAGCACTGGGTCATTCTGCTTAGAAACAATGCCCCAATCTTTGATCGACCCAGTCAAACACATGCAATACCACCTTCCTCCCACCTTCCCCCAGTTCATCCCTCTTTGTCTGAATTCAGAGCACGTATTTGTTCAGGACCAAGTTGATGACCAGTTCATAAATCATTTCAGCAAAATATTGGCAGGTAACTAATTTCAATACATAATAAAGACAGATATACATGTCACACCTTGTGCATGTATTTATGTAAAATGTATCTGTATTGTCAAGTACATGTGTCATCCAACAGCAACCCTTTTTTAAGTCCACAACAAATCTGTTGGTGAGCCCAGGTGAGGAGTAGAAACACACCGACGAGTAGAAACACACTGACAACTTGTGACAAAAGGAAAGGGGAACTGTGACTGACAAAAAAAAAAAAGAAAAAAAAAGCACTGTGATTGACTTTTCTGTCGACTCTCATTGACGGCAGCCCCATGCTGTATTATCTTAGAATCCATTGCACAGCCTCATCATACGGTTATTATCGCGGTATTATCTTAGAATCCAGACCGAAAATTGGCCCAAATACAGCGATAATGATTGTACGTTGTTTCATGTGCACGGTCTTGGCTTTGCATCTCTAATTGCTACCGTCTTCCTCCAAACGGAACGTACAGTCATTATCGCTGTATTATCTTAGAATCTAGACTGAAAGTTGCCCCAAATACAGCTATAACGATCGTATGTTCAGTTGGGTGGAAACGGTGCTACTGAGCCGGTCGTGTGGTGAGCTTCTTTTTTTTTTTTTTTTTTTTTTTTTTTGGAAAAGACACGCCCTCGCAGTGTTAGTGGCGCTGGTAAGAGCAAATGCCACTAGCACGCGGGGGGAGGCTCCATCTATGGTGGGGAGCTTCACCTGCTGGAAAATGGGTCCAGCGTCCCATATACAGAATTGGTGAATGTGAACAGAAAGAAGAAGAAACCTGCCAGCATTGATTACTCTGGTTTCCAGAGGATTGACTGTGCAGGTCTGTATGGGAACACAGCAATGCAAAAAAAACTTTGAAAGTGCGGGTGTCAGGGGGGGAACCTCTTCACCATGTACATGGCGCCAGATCCCTACTGCAATGCCTAGTTCTCCCACCTCTCATCTCGGCTAAATTTTAGTTAACCCTTGCTGGTCTTCATGGACTCAATCTTTCATCTCTCAGCCATGCAACTGTCAGCTTCATGCGTTATGCTGGCCTCCACCCTTTATAAACCGTACCACTGCATCCCTACCAGGCAGTTGGGAGGGGGGGGGAAGGGGTCGGGGAATTCCTCGGGGGGTCTAAGCGGGATCCCTACATCCAACTTTGCCCAGTCATTGAATGTCAAGCGGTAATCCCTCTCTATTACTGCTCCCTGTTGTCCCTCGCCTGTCGCCTTTAGCTCTCCTTTCCCTTCCACCTTCCCAATTGCTCCACCCTCGGGTCCTCCCAGCCAGCACGAACAGTTGTATTTGGTGTTTAATGTCTTTAAGCGATTGGAGTGTTCGTATGTTGGATCTGACCTTGTCCCATTTTGCTGTTATCTCTGTTTGGATCTGCTGTATCACACTATCAGTGAACTCAGGGCCTTCTAGTCTCACCCCTTCCATTTCGTAGGTGCATCGCCTTCGCCATAATGCCCAGAGGACTGCTCTTCGTCCCAGTGTGAGCATATTGGTGGTGAATTCGTTGAGGTGTTCCGTTAGACCCCCGGGCCAGGTTTCGCAGAGCACCACTTTCCAATCCCAGGGCCAGGACGTGTCAGTGCCTAGTTGGCTCCATACTCTGTCCCACCATCTCCACATCCACAGTGCTCCCGGGCATTGGAGGAATATGTGCTCTATTGTTTCTAGGTGTTTTCGAGCCGGGAAGGCGTTTATGCATAGTTTACACCAGGGGAGGGCTAGCCCTCTTTTGTTCCAGCGTTGTTCTGTCTATTAACCAGTTATTGGTTGGCAGGCAGCGGTGCTCCATCTGCCATTGAAGCGACGCAATCTTAGCGGGTTTTTCCTTAGCCAGCCGAAACCATTTGACTGATCTTAATTCCGCCTGGCCGATGTTTAGGTGAGTTTTCCATCGCTCTTTCACTTGGTCAGCCAGGTTGATTCTCGGTCTGAGGAGCCTGTATGTTGATTCCACGGTTAGTCCATAGAGTGTTTTAGAGTAGTTCTTTCCTTTTCGCCTTCAAGATGTCCATATCCACTCCAACGGGTCCAGGGGCAGTTGCTGGATCGGGGTGGATGGCCGAAAGGCTATCCATTGATGGTCTTCTTGGAGCACCCTAATACTGAAAAAATCTGCCTTTGGAAGGACTGACATTTTCTCGTCGGTATTTCTGTGAAGAATGTTTCCTTTCCTTACTTGGAAGCGGTTCACCGTTACGGGCCCATCCGGATGTATGGCGACAACCCTGCCCACTCCCCCTACACTGTCTGGACATGCTACCCAGTCGTCTTTCTGCAGGGTCAGGCCCTTGCGCAAGATTCTCAGCCAGTCTATAGGGACCATTTCCGTTACCGTTTCAAGGGCTTCTTGAGGGTGATGGCAGTATCTCAGCTTTTCCCGTAGGCAGCCTGGTTCAATCCATTCTTTCTTTTCCGAGTTCCATATATCTTGCACCCTTGTGATCCCTTTCTTCACCCAACCCTGCCATGGCGAGTCCATGCAATGGAGGGTCTGGCCATACGTGTTTGTTATCCACCTGTTGCCGAAGAGGGGTTGCCGCATCACCTCCTCCCATCTTTGTGGTGGGGTTTTATCCGGTAGGGGGAGGCTTCTCCAGGTGTTGAGAAGATTGGGCCAGAAGGGATCATTAACTAGATCGTCCTTGAGTGACTGTCTTGTTGTAACTGGGTGGGAGTCCCGTTGACGTGACGCTCTAGGAATGGGCCAGTCTCTGTTTTCAAGCCACATTAACGGGTCTGCAGTTTCCTAAGTTGGAGGGGCAGGTCTGGAGATTTGTTCCAAGGCCAAGCCTTGCCAAGGGGATTCCGTATTAAAAATAAGTCGTTTGATCCATTGTATGGCCAGCGCCTTTGTCTGTGTGAGCGGGTCGATAATCCCGAGTCCTCCGTTTGTTTTAGGCTGAGTTATAGAGTGCCACACCACTCGGCTGATGACGTTTTGTCTATCATGATCCCCTCTCCACAAGAAGGCGGCTATTTGGCGTTGCAGGGAGCGTAGAGCTTTTTTGTCCAGCGCCCAGATTGCCGATTTGTACCACATTGAAGCCAGCACCGCATTGTTGATAATGAGGGCGCGGCCCCATAATGAAGTATGCTTGTTTTTCCAAAGTGCCGTTTTCGCTAAGGGGGGGGCCGTGATCCATTCCTGGTTGGTGGATGGTCTGCCCTCTGCCGTCAATGAGATCCCAAGCACTCTAATAGGGGCCTCCTTGGGGAGCCACTTGAGTCTCGGCTGTTCTGGGGGTCTCACTCCTTGGTGGTGAATCCACCAGCCCTGGGTTTTGTTACCCCAGTTTACTTTCATGTCCGACAGCTGGCAGAAACGGTCCATCATCCGCTGCTCTCCTTCCATGGATTCCCTAGTTGCATCTACCATTAGAGTCAGGTCGTCGACGAACATTGAGCAAACTGGGATTGCTTCATTGGGTATTGCCGACACACGGATCCTCTTTATATATTTGTGGGTCCTCAGGTTAGCTGCTAGTGCTTCCATGACCATGACAAATAAGTAGGGGGCAATCGGGTCCCCCTGTCTAACTAATCTCTGCAGCTCAATGGGAGGAGCCAGGTTATTATTTACCATGACCCTAGTTGCAGCATTTGTGTGTAGAATTTGAACCCAGCGTCGGAAGTCGGGTCCGAAGTTGAACTTTTCTAGACATTTATCGAGGAAGAACCAATCGACATGATCATAGGCTTTTTCAAAGTCTATGAAGATGATCGCTGTGTTGTTTTGGGACTGCTTGGTTAGCTTAATCATTTCGTTGACCAGGAGGATGTTGTCCTGGATATTCCTTCCTTGGATAAAGCCGGTCTGGTCCGGGTGGATGATGTCTGTCATTATTGGTTCCAGGTGGTTAGTCAAAGCTTTGGCAATTAGCTTGTAGATAACCGTGAGCAACGTGATGGGTCTGTAGTTTCTGATGTTTGTCCGGTCCCCTTTTTTATAAAGGAGAGTTAGCACTCCTTGTCCCACGAATCCCCCCATCCGACCGGTCTCCCAGACCTCGTGGTAGAAGTCCATGAGATCTTGTGAGATAAAAGGCCACGTAGCTTTCCAAATTTCTTTTGGCAAGGCGTCTATGCCTGGGGTTTTCTCCTCCTCCATTTGCCTCAACGCTTCCCAAATTTCCTGCTTTGACAAGGGGCTATTAAGCGTTTCTCTTTGCTGTGCCGTAAGGGTCTTGCTCAATGGGGCTAGGAAGTCCTCGATTTCCAGTCTCCGCTGGTCTTCGGGCTGGTTCCTACAAGTGGATGTGAACAGTTCCTGGTAAAAGTCCCTGGCTATTTTTGTGCATGCCGTGGTCCAGACCCGGGAGGGGGTTGTGGGGGAATATATCAACTATTTGAAGAGCGCCCAGAAGCTCTTCTGAGGCGAGGATCAGATCTATGCGAGATTTCGATGCGCCCTCCGTGCCAGTCTTTCGTAGGCAGGTGAAGCGGCGGTCTGTGGGGAAACGTCTTCGGAAGGTATCGAAGAGGTTGAGGGATTGCGAGAGTTCCATTATTATTTTTTCATCGTTTTCCATGTAAAAAGGGCACGGTGAGGGGACTTTCCATCTGTCCAGCCAGCGATCCGGGGCTGCATTGAAGTCCCCTGCTAAGATAACCGGGATTCCTACCGGAAGTTTCTCCCTGAGTGATTCGAAGAACGCTTGCCGTGCTGACGGTTCATTGGGGGCGTATATATTCAAGATGCTGACTACTTCCAGTTCTGGCATACCCAGGAAGTAGATCCACCTACCCTCTTGTTGGTCTGCTTCCCAATTAAGCATTTCGATCTTGGAATTTGGAGGGATCCATATCGCTACGCCCCCACTTCCGGGTCTCGGGGCGTGGGCTCTATAGGCTTGGTGTGGCCAAAGTTCTTTGTGTTTGTGGTTGTGCTCCGGAGTGTTCATGAGGTGGGTTTCTTGTCGTGTGGTGAGCTGACGGCGCATCACATGGGCATTGCAATGACATAAATGAAAAAACTGGATAAGAAACTTCACAAAAGGCAGTTAAGTTGAATTAACAAATGCCAATTATATTCTACACAATTATATATCATGTAAGAGTCATGTGTGTGCATTCTGTCCATCGGAGGAGACACTAGGAAGAGGAAGGAAAAAAAGAGGGGAAAAAAAAAGGAAGAAGGACAACCTTGCCACCTTGCCCTTCAGCAGAGCTTGGTAACACCTACCGTCTTCACCCGAATAGAACGCCCGGTCATTATAGCTGTATTTGGCACAACGTTCAGTCCAGATGCAGCGATAATGACCGGGTGTTCTATTCGGGTGAAGACGGTAGCTCCGAGCTTTATCGCATGATTGCAAACCAAACTTGGCCTTTCATGGTTGTACGGGCCTGCGTTGCGCGGTGGAAGTTGCGCCCAGTTAAACCACCAGTACTTTTTCGAGCCATTTGGTTCCGAAACGCCGTAAACGCGCCACAGCCTTTGGGACTCGGCCTACGGGGCCAAAATGGCTGGCGGTACCAGGGAAAAAATAAGGGAAAAGTTGTTGATGCCCCCTGCGGCAAAACCTTTGTCAAATTTCCACCCCAAAATGGACGCGCCGTGCGGGAGGTCCCCAAAAAAAACTTTTCGTCCTTCTTGCACCCCGGCTGGGCCGGTAGATCACTTTCCTGCCTTTTTTGCACAGTGGGCCCTGCTGGTGTTACCGGCCCAGCCAGGCCACAAAAACGACTCAAAAAGTATTTTCAGGGGGCCTCGCGTCGTTTCTGCAGCCTGGCTGGGCCGGTAACGCCAGCAGGGCCCGCTGTGCAAAAAAGGCGGGAAAGTGATCTACCGGCCCAGCCGGGGTGCAAGAAGGACGGAAAGTTTTTTTTGGGGACCTCCTGCACGGCGCGTTGATTTTGGGGTGGAAATTTGACAAAGGTTTTGCCGCGGGGGGCATCAACAACTTTTCCCAAAAAATAACGGGTTCGTTTTTCATCGGCGCAGAGCAGATGTCCGCGTCCGTAAAAAGACGCTCGGAACTTTTTTTCGTCGCCGCACAAATATGGAGGTAAAAAAGGCGCCCAGAACTACTTGTGGTTTGTATAAACTTTGAAGTGTGAACTTGTTCAGGATAAAAATGCGTTCGGAGGTCCACAGGAGGGTCTGGTCTGGCGGGTTGGCCGTTTAACGAAAATTGAAAAGCGTTTGGGAATCTAGAAAGAGAAGATGAAAGAAAAAGGAGAGGATGACGTAATGTGCAAGAGAAAGGTTTGTGTCGCTTGTGACGATGTACCCATGTTGCGACAAGTTTCCAGGACTCGCGGGGTTTATTGTTCACAGAGCAGGGAGCTGATGATACCCATACTAAACCCCAAACCCTAAGCCTCAACCGGACCAAACTGCTGTCGCGATGGTATCCATTGATAAGGATTCGAAGTTCGAACTCGTGATCTGTTGATTAGTAGCTCACTGTGTGTGTACCATTCAGCCACGAAGACCGGCACTCAGAACTGTTGGCATAACCTCTGCAGTGACTTGCACAAATCACTGTCTGAGATTCCTGCAATTTCTGATGTCCCTTCTTTTTTTTTTTTTTTTTTTTTTTTTTCAAAACCTCTTTCATAAAATGCGGAGTCTGAGGCTGTTTGGCTGTGATTTGCTGTGTTTTCTAAGTGTGCGTGTGACCTGCCACTGACGTGCGTGTGTCGCGTGTTTGCCTGAGTCCAAGTCCGAGTCTGTGTGTGAACGCGGTTGGCCATGTGTGTGTGGCTGTGCCTCAGACAGGGACAAGGTAGGAATAGAGAGGCGGCCAGGGGAAGTACTGAACGTTAGGAGTACAATATGCTGGGGGGTAGTTTAGTGCCCAAGGACAATTGTAGAATTGGCTGGGGACCCGGTAGGGGTTTTCCAGCACTTGGGCAAAGGGTTCTGTAGCTTTTACCTATAGGGAGAGAATTGCAGAGAAACCATCTTCCACTGAGTACGACATACACTTATTATTGCTGTATCTAGACTGGAAGTAGCGTGACTGGAAATAGCATGACTGGAAGTAGCATAACTGGAAGTAGCACTGAGTACAGCTATAATGACCGTACATTCTATTTGGGGAAGATGGTAGTCCAAGGCCTGAATGTAGGCAGGCAGTAGACCAGGTTCAGGGCCCTTAGGTAGGTTTCAGGCTACGATGATCTTCCGGCCGAAAGGAGGGAACACCTGGGAGGCCTACCACACCAAAGTGAGGCGGGTAGAGGCAGGTAGTACACGGCTGAGGTACTGAAGGCTGGGGAGGTAGAAAGTATATCATTCAGTGAAATGAGTGACTGTGCCTCGTTGAACGTTCCGTCGGCAGTAACGCTGCTGCTCCACCAAGAGGGGAAAGTGGCGGAGCTCCTGGAAGGAGCAGGTGGAGCTACAGGGTGATGGTGAAGACATCCATGACTATGGAGGAGTAGGGATGAGGTAGTAGTCCTCGACTATGGAGGTGAGGGAGAAGGACCTCTAGCTAGGCTATGGAGGCGTAGTAGAGGAGGAGGAGGAGGGAAGGAAGTGGGGACCGGGAAAGAGGCTCGCCTTTGGCTATGGTGGACTTGCATCTTCATCTCCAAGGTTGGCACTGCGTCTAGATGGCCCGTGAAGGGGGTCACAAGTGGGGTGAGGGGACTTTCATCTGGTAGAGTAGGCTTGGCAACAGTAGTGGGAAAGAACATGGAAGCTTTGCATTGTCCTTTGAACATCCGAGCTAGGCGGGGATGAGCCGCCATATCCAGATGTCACAACAAGGAGAGAGGGGTGTGTAGGGGGTCAAAGGGTGGCTCTTTATGTTGTTGGCAGCAAGGGGGAGTAATCGGTCGTTTGCTTCGGGCTCTTTCATTAGTTATTGACTTATGTTGTTTATTATTTGTAATAAGATGATGGTGGAAATGGTCAGGGGGAGATGATGGAGGCAAGACGCGGGAGAGATGACATTGGTCCCAGCTTCTTCTTCTTCTTCTTCTTCTTCTTCTTCTTCGTCTTCTTCTTCTTCCTTCTTCTTCTTCTTCTTCTTCTTCTTCTTCTTCTTCTTCTTCTTTCTTCTTCTTCTTCTTCTTCTTCTTCTTCTTCTTCTTCTTCTTCTTCTTCTTCGTCTTCTTCGTCTTCTTCTTCTTCCTTCTTCTTCTTCTGCTTCTTCTTCTTCTTCTTCTTCTTCTTCTTCTTCTTCTTCTTCTTCTTCTTCTTCTTCTTCTTCTTCCTCTTCCTCTTCTTCCTCCTCCTTCCTCCTCCTCCTCCTCCTTCTTCTTCTTCTTCTTCTTCTTCTTCTTCTTCTTCTTCTTCTTCTTCTTCTTCTTCCTTCTTCCTTCTTTCTTCTTCCGATCCCTTTCATGTGAGTTGCAATTGAATGCCATTGTCTCCTTGTGAGTTTTGCATTTGGAGATGACCAGGATCATAGCACCTCTCATAAGACCACAAGGGGCAACCCAGACTGAAGATATGGCTGGTGGGTGATGGGGTGAGGTGATGGGATAACTTACCAAGGACAGGTGATGATGTTCGCGGAGCCGAAGATCGACGATGCAGAAGCTGAGCGGGCACAAATGCAAAACAAACTGGAAGAATCAAGGGAGCAAATTAAGAAGCTCCAGGAAGGCATTGAGAATGCCGAACTGAGAGTGGCAGAAGTGCAAAGGCAGCTCCAGGAAAATGAGGTGGCACTCGCACGCATGAATCGATGTACTCTGTGCCGCATAAAAACCTTTAATCAGAAGGTGGATTCTTTCATGAAAAGGCCCGTGCGCTCACGCGGATCTCGCCGACAGGACCAGGATAACGACGAATGGTCCATGTGGGGAGGATTGCGAACAAGGTCGCGGGGGTCCAGAGGAAGCACATCGAGAAGGGGGGGGAGAGAAACTCGCGAGGGCCGTTCTCGGGGCAAGGATTCCGATGGAGTTTGGGGAGATGAGAAGAAGGAAGGTGGCGATTCGCCGGATCGCGGGGACGAAGCAATGCCAGTTTTCGGGAAGCATATGGAAGGTGGTGTCAGTCCCAGGGTTCAAAGGAATGCACTCGGATATCGCGAGGCCCTAGGAGATGATACTGTAGGAGATGATAATAAGGGTACAAAAGTATCGAACGAGGCCGTAAATGCAAACCAGGAGCCGTCAACCAGTGGAGAAGGAAGCAATCAAACAGGAGAGAAAGCTGATGTACCGTCGGATGTTAGTCCGAAGAACCGGGAGGCGATTAGCAGTGATGGGGAGAACAACGCGATAAAGGAGGAAAAAGTGAATGCAGCAGGAAATGAGGCACAGCCAAGTTTGACAGATGAAGGCAAAGCAGGTGGGCACAAAGGTGGAGAAGCGGTAACACCCCTGAAGAGTCCGCAGATGACGACGAAATCTCTCTTAGCTGATAATCTTAAGAGTATGAAGCATAGCCAAAATAATAATAACCCTATGGGAATGCAAAGCATCCTGGAAGAGATCAAAATACCGGCTGCAAAATTGCTGTATGGAAAAGAGGGAGCACAATCTCATGGAAAAGAAGGTCGAGAAACGTCCCCCCATGTCAAAGATGTAAGCAAAGAGAATTTGGTGAACACGGATGCCGATGAGATTCTGATGAGGAGAAGACTTGAGTCCCTTGGCAGCATGGAGGGCATTGGGGAGCCGTTGACGAGGCGAAGGGAAAATTGGGATTACCAAGAATGGTATGATGACGCATCAATGGGCACATCCCATCTGAAAGAGGAAATCCGTCAACATCGCGATGATCCAACCGATGAATCTAAGGCTACGGACACAGACATGGCCCAATCTAGTATAGAATCTCCTGTGCAAAAGGGAAGAGGAAAGAGGAAGAAGAGGAGAAGTAGTGTGATGGCGACACGGCGGCTCCACCCAGCTGCGTCCCCAAAAGAGGGTGCCCACCCAAAAGAGGGTGCACAACCAAAAGAGGGTGCACCCCCAAAAGAGGGTGCACCCCCAAAAGAGGTTGGCCCCCCAGTTAGTAAGAAAGAGAGAGTATCTCCCACAACTTTTGCCATGAAGGAGAGAGTCCCCCCCCCCCATCTTGCTGTGAAAGAGAGTGTACACCCCCCCCCTCTCGCTGTGAAAGAGAATGTCTCCCCTCGTCCCACAGATAGGGGGGGCAGAGGAAGAACAGTAGAACCAGAAGAAGACGAAGACTTGGAGAGCAGCGCTCATGAAGATTCTGGAAGCCCAAGAGGCGGAGGAAAGGGGAAAGATGGCCCGCGAACGGCTCGCCGTCGTCAGAAGACTGATGGGTATGTTATCCTTGGAAGTCCTCCCTTTTCCCGCCACCCATGTGACCAACCTTGCAGAGTCCAATTGTGCCCATGTGTAGGCCATTTATTTCTGTTTTTCCCTTTTTTTTTTCACTTACACCACCACTACCTTCAGGCTGGGAGGCCAACTCATAAAAGTGTTTTTAACTTTTTGTGTTTTTTTGTTCGTTTGCTTTGACCTGTTTGTTTTTTTAACATTTGCAATTTTGCACTATGGGCCCATATAGTTTGTTTTTGAATTTTTTGTTATGAAGTCCTCCCATTTCCCACCGCCCATGTGACCAACCTTGCAGACTCCAATTGTGCCCATGCGTAGGCCATTTATTTTCTGTTTTTCCCTTTTTTTCCCACTTACACCGCCACTACCTTTCAGGCTGGGAGGCCAACTCGTAAAAGTGTTTTTGTGTTTTTTTGTTTGTTTTCTTTGGCCTGTTTGTTTTCTTTACATTTGCACTATGGGCCCATATAGTTTGTTTTTGAATTTTTGGCTGAACTCTGCACCAAAAGTGTCGGCGAAAACGGCAAATTTTTGGTCCTCTGTTAACCGTGTGTCAGACCACAAAGGCTAGCTGGGCCAGCCTAAAGAAAACAAAAAACGCGGCGCTGGCGCTTCGGCCCCCTGTTGGCACGCAGTTCGAATCCGCCTTGGCAAAATGAGGCTCGGAGTTAGGGGTGGTTAAAATCACTTGTACCTTTGTCGGTTCAGAAAATAGCGGGCCTCCGACCTTTCAGGAGGCCGAAACGAATTGACGGCCGCCGATTAGATTTATCAATGGCAGCCGTTGTCGGGCCTGGCCTCCGAATTCTTTGGGGACTGGCGTTTCCCTCATTTCTGAAGCGGCAAAGGTACTAAAGGTTTAAAGAGCTTCAGCGTTGTTCTGGCACAAAATAGAAGCGTAAAAAGCATAGTTGCGGTGGACCAGTGTGCAGTGCGGTACGGCCCGGTGCTTAGTGCACTGTGCGCTGGAATGACAGCGCCCGCACTGTGCACTGTGCACAGTGCGCGCGCTGCGGGCGGTGCACCAGGTGCGCAGAAAAAAAGAAAAAAACATTTATAAGTGCCCTTGGGGGGG